TATATGACCGTAACCAACCAAATCACTTTATACTTGATCAAAGAGGCCAAATGTAGAGTGTATATACCACTTTTTAGGGATTTTCCTGTTAGTTTTCTTGACTCGTTAGGTTCAATTTTGTTGTGACGATGTTACCTCTGAGGACAGCTTAGTACCTTTTCACCGGAATCGAAGGAAATTGCCTCGGCAACAGCGTCAGCATGAATGTTCCAGTAAAGCCAATCGACAGCTGGTCAAGAGGAATCCGCCGTCATCTTCTGGTGGAACAGACCTTCGAATCTCTTCACCCAACACTTTCACTCGAAATGATTATGAAACAATAGATTCCTCAAAACCCAACTTTTCTTCGTATAGAATATAGTACCACAAGACAACAAGTGTCCGGTGGCAAATCTAGGCCCCATTTTTATACACCTAACCTTGCGATCTTAATAAGGCATACCATGATTTAGTTGGTTACTTCAAACTTACTCAACATGCTTGCAGACAAGAAAAGTTACTTCACGAATCGGAAGTGTGTTCCGTGGCAACTGTCGCCTTAAGCGACATCGAATCAGTAAATGACTGCATTCGCAGACGCAACTCTGGCATCGTCATCAGTCTTCTCGACATCAAGTCTATGTTCGTCAAAGAAACATATGAACTCTATGGCTCGACCCGCTTTCTGCTGCACACTTATGGCTTCTCACCTCCGTCGGCTTTAGAGTTGGGTCCACTTGAGCGTCCTATGGAGGCGATCCGAAACACCAATCTAACCAGAATGATAGAGGATGCAACTTTATGGGTTTGGTTTGTGTGTTCGGTGGGGAGAAGAGATACCTCAACCGTTTGTCATGAGCGGTCACTTGTAAAGCGTTGAAAAGGATGACAAATCACATTCTTAGGGGTTACTTAGTGACATTGTCTATTGTGGATGTGGCAGTTTGGGTGCACAAAATACAGATCAAAAGGTTTTCTCGCGAGCGCCATTTAGCCTTCGCGACAAACTCTCGAAATGGCCTTGAGTTTAGATAGTTTAGCCGAGTTTGCGATACAACTGAACAGTCATAAGGGGGTTTGGTGAAGAGACAAACGTCGGAAACTTATCTTTCTGTGTTCGTGACATGTTGACGATGATTGCAAGAATCAGGCGAGCTCGAACTGTAGTCGCGTCCGGATGACACATGTTTCCTCTTTAGTGTCCTTGAGGTCAAGAGCGAACTGGCTAAGCTTAGCTTAACCCGTTAGAACTGTCATACAATCTATTGGGAATAATGAGTCCTAAGGATATGAGTAAAAACAGTGTCTTGTGGGATTGAAATTTGTGTTGTGTCCACTTCCATTTCAAGTGAGAATATACGTGATGAAGTGCTTCAAAAGGGCAGCCCATCAAAAGAAGAAGAAGACATATACAGCTTGGCCAGTCTATGTCGGCTGTACTAGCACATTCTTGTTGACGCTGTCCCTGAGGCAAATAATAAAAAAATAATAAGGATAATAATAATAATAATAATAATAATAATAATAATAAAGATGTATTCAATCTATTCCGTTTAGGCTGATAAAAGATTGGTAGTTGAATTTTCCCACAATCATACGAGCAGACATTACTTCCGGCTGCGGGTGCTTATGAGAACATTTCAGGTGAGGTGGAAATTGCGGGAAAATTCAATTGCCAGCCTTTCGTCACCTCAGACGAAATAGTGTGAATGCAGCTTTTGTATCAGATCTACTGGTAGTCTCGGAATACCTACTTAATAAAAGAAAAATCTCATTCGATGCCAAAAAAACGGGGTAAGGAAGGGTCATTAAATCTTGATGATCGAGGACGGATGTTACGTTCTGATCCCATTTCTTTTAGCTATCACCGCCGGTTGCGTGCACATACTTACACATGAAGACTCAACAGCACACACAAACAGACAGTTAAGCATGCTTAAATACCTGAGTATGACTTAAACTAACCGAATCACTTTACACCTCATCCAAATGCATA